TCAGTGTTTCAGGCAGTTCAGTGTTTCAGGCAAATCAGTGTTGTAGGTAGTCCAGTGTTTCAGGTAGTTTAGTGTTTCAGGCAGTTCAGTGTTTCAGGCAGTTCAGTGTTCCAGACAGTTCAGTGTTTCAGATAGTTGCAGTATATTGGGCATTATTAATTTTGTGTCGGACTGCAAGTTCAGCCATATTAGTTGGACCTGGGTGGTCTCAGTACATCCGAAAGCCAGATATGGAATAGCAGAATTTCCAGTCAGTAGCAGTGCGAGTATGCAGCGTATGGTAGGATTCAGTCAGTTGTTCGTGGGGTGCACGACACCGAATGGTAGTAGAAAGAATGCCCAGTGGATACTGGCGGCGATGACCCGTACTGGGAGTAGCGGGAGTAATAGATTTGGTGGAGACAGGGTCTTCACAGTGACGGAAGAGGTAGGTGGTTATGGAGCATCGCCTTGGGAAGGCAAGGAAATCGTGCAAGGAAAGAAGGGGTGAACCCCTACGGGGTCAGTGCAGTATTTGGAGAGTATCAGAAAGATTGTCGGTTGAGTGAGTTGCGTTTCAAGAATGTTCAGGGTCAGGATGGACCCGAGATTATTATCTGTAGGGATTGACATTGGTTTGAATGACTGAGCGGAAGGCCAGCGAAGGCAGGCAGCTGGTGTTAGAATGAGCGGTGGGGTATTGGAGGCAGATCGCAGTCGGTGGATCATAGCAAACTTCGAGGACGAAGTTTAGTTTAAGTGGGGGAGAGTTGTAACACCCAAAATTTGGAAAGCCAAGAAAAGAAAGAAATCCCCAATTTTAAGGGGAGACTCGGCGAGTCCAAGGAGGGACTCGGCGAGTCCGAGCGGGATCCGGGTCGAGGAGTAAGCGACCAACTTGGCGAGTCGGCCAAGGTGACTCGGCGAGTCTAGTCTGAACGAGGAAAACCCTAAAATCGGGACTTGGAGCCTATTTAAACGCCTCATTCTCTTCCCTAAGGTTCCTTTACTGCCTCTTTCACCTAGGACATCAAGCCCTAGCCGTTACATCCATTGATTGAGCCATTTATTGACTTGGAAGGTGCATTGAAGCTTGAAGGAGGAAGAAAGAGCTTGGAGGAGCAAGAAAGGACTATAGATCTGGGATTGTGAGTTCATTCTGAGCATTTGGAGGTAATAACTAGCTCTTGGGCCCCTCTTTGCACCTAGATCTATGTGTTGTTGTTGGAGTTTTTAGCCATGATGTTATTCTTTCAAGTTAGAAGCCAGATCTGAAGTTGCTACTTCAGATCTAAGCATGTGATGGTCTTGAGAAGCACAAAGTATCAGCCTTTGAGTGGATCATGAAGCCTCTTTGCCTTAAACCCTAGTCCATGGTGTATTTTGTCTAGATCTCCTTCTCCACACGTAAAGTTTGCAACTTTACGTGAGGAATAGGCTTGGGAAGGGTAGATCTACAGTTTGGAGTCCATGCATGACTCAATAGCCCTCTGCATGTTGAGGGATTCGAATGGAATCGGCGAGTCCTTTGAGTGGACTCGACGAGTAGCATGAAGTAGTGGAGCAACTCGGCGAGTGGGATGAACAGCTCGTCGAGTCAGATGAAGATTGCCTTGTACTCGACGAGTCTGTTCTTGGACTCGGCGAGTCAGGTTGTGAAACCCCAAACCCTTCGAGTCAAGGCTCAGATTAGTGAGTTGAGTGGGGACTCAGTGAGTTGGACAGGACAGAACTCGGAAATCAGTGAACTCGGCGAGTCAGTAGACTGACTCAGCGAGTAGGGTCAACATGGAAGGTTAACTTTGGCCAGGACTTTGACTTTGATCGGAGTTGAGTTAGTTGACTTTTAGAGGACTGTCAGGTTAAGTGTCGCTTTGTTATTGGTAGCTCGGAGAGTTAGAGGAGCAGCATTTCAGACGGTGGTTGGTTAGCAGTCCGAGGGTTACCAGCAGAATTCAGCAGTTCAGGTGAGTTTCCTTACAGTAGGAACGGGTCTAAGGCCACAATGCCGGCCCGTTCAGTTAGCAGTCAGTTTCCGAACTTCGGTCCGATGCAGTAGTTAGTATGTTTGATGCCTTCGTGGCTCAGACAGGATTTATGTGTTATGTGTTCCGGGCTACGGACCGATGCAGTATGCAGTATATGTGTTCATGCTAGTTGATAAGTTTTCTACGTTATGTTCAGTCAGTTTCCAGACTTCGGTCCAATGCACGGGGCAAGGCCCCAGTTAGTTTGGACTTCAGTCCGATGCAGGGGACAAGGTCCCAGTCAGTTTCCGGACTTCGGTCCGATGCAGGGGACAAGACCCCAGTTAGTCCGGACTTCGGTCCGATGCAGGGGACAAGGTCCCAGTCAGTTTTCGAACTTCGGTCCGATGCAGGGGGCAAGGCCCCAGTTAGTCCGGACCTCGGTCCGATGCAGTGGGCAAGGCCCAGTATGTGCTTTATATGTTATTGTATGGTATGTGGTAGTTTGGGGGAGCTCACTAAGCTTCGTGCTTACAGTTTCAGTTTTTGGTTTCAGGTACTCAGTTTTCAAAAGAGGAGCTCGGAGAGATTGCAGTGCACACACCATAGTCAGCTGGCCTGGGATGTTTTACTCTGATAATAAGTTTGTATTTTTTAAATTAATGCTATGAAATTATGTTATGATTTATGATACGGTTTTATAAATATGGTTTTAGTAATGTTTATAAAGAGAAAATTTTAGTCGTGATATTTGGGTCGTTACATCTTGAGCTTTGAAATACTTTTGGGACTGTTTCATAATGAATTTAAACTATTTGGGGCTGTTTGGTAATTTAACTAACCAAAATATGACTGCTTTGGTTAAAATAAATTAAAGGAGGGACTGAAATGGTTTAATTGGAGCTAAAGTTTGGGAATTAGACTGATCTTTTTAAGAAATCTCCAAGTGGGGTGGGGGGGGGGGGGGGGGGACTGTTTTGTTTGAAATGCACCCAATTTTGGGGAATTGACTCATTTTGTATAAATGGTTAGATTGAGGGTTTATTTTGTTCATTATATAAACACAAAATGATTAAGGAATTTTTGTTTGCTTCGTCATTTGACTGATTGAGAGAAATAGGAACGAACGAAGACAACAGCACAAAGACACATCGATTTCTCATTATGATCCACTTACCTTCCTTCCTAGCTCACTGTATTTCTCCATCAAAATGGAAGCTTTTGCAAGCAACAATGGTTTTAGAAACCCTTTTCAAAAACCCTCTTCTTTCCAAGATCAAGACGTTTATTGTAAAAGATGTGTTGGAGAGTAGGGAGCATATTTTGGAAAGGATTGCATTGTATAATAGTGGTGCCCAAATGAGGAGTTTAGCATATTCTTAACCGGCTAAGGATTTGATTTTGAAATGGCGTCTCAATTATTAAGGCTAACTAGAAACAAAAAATGGCTGGTTGTTTACCTCTTAATTGCAAAATTAAGAGGCACTGTCTTAAAAATTCATATTCATATTGTTTGTTTGCCTCTTATATTTTACCTCTTAAAATTGTAAATACCTCTTAATTTTTCAGATATTAAACAGCATCTAAATTTTAAAAAGAAAGACGTGTTCCTATTGTGCCCTAGACATCGACCTGCACCAAAACACGCCTCTTCTTCTTCTTCTCCTCCCTCTGTGCGTCTTCTTCTCTTCACCCCCCGATTCGCCGACGAAGCTGCTCCCCGACGACGCTGCCTGAAACGCCATCGTCGCCGCCATCTGGAACGACAGTTTGTCCTCTGCCTCCGACAACAGGTTCGTTTCTTCCTTTTTTCCCCAACTCAATATTTGTTCTGTTTTTTATAAATGATTTGGTTTGAAATAAACGAAATCAACTTTCTCTTCTTCATCCATAGAAAGAGGGGAATATTACTAATCGTTTGTAAGCTCCGACTACACCTCGACGCAACCTCTGACTACACGTCAGCGCAATCTTCGCCTGCAGCAGCTCTGCCTCCAGCTCCGGTTGCAGGCCCGCTTTTCATTCTTCCTTTATGGACAATTCCTTTGATTTTAATTTGAGTTTTAACTTCCGGTAATGGATTGATTGATTATGCAAGTTTTGTATTGATTGATATGGGGTGATTTTAGTATTGATTGACTATGCAGGTTTGATCCACTTATCACAAAGAGTCCAATAATCGATTGGTTAACATTACAGATTCTGATAATCGACTATCACAAAGACGCAAACTTGCTTCTCTTTGGCAGGTATGCTTCTCGTAACATCACAGATTCACAGATTGTGTCATTCTGATATAGATGTTTGTTTAGATGCTTTTATTTAATAAGTAATAACTAAAGTCTTTATATCCCACATGCTTTTATTATGTCATTATTAAATTTTGATGCTGAAATCATATTTGTGTTTGATGTTCTAGCTGTTATCATAAATTATGAATTACTTTTGCTGAATTGTGCATTTGTTTTGTTGAAATTTTTGTTAAAGATGTGCCTTTGATTTTATGGCAATCGAGAAGAATAATGGTCAAGAACAAGGGGGAGAGAATGATGGACAAAACATACACGATATGGAAGGGAGTTTAGAAAGCAACAAATACATGGATAATTTACGTGACCGATTACAAATCAATTAGGGTCAAATTAAATTTGTAGGATTTCATTTGGATTTTGGTATGATTTTGTGGATTTAAAAATATTTATGTTTGATTTGGATTTGTGTTTAATTTTGATTTATGCTAAATTTGAATTTTATATTGTGTTTATATTTTTTTATATTTCTTTAAGAAATTTATTAGGCTATTTTCTAAACAAACACTTGGATTCAATAAAAAAATAAAACAGAAAGGTAAAATGATAATTTTAATAATTCAACACAACAATTCAGAAGTTTCAACTAAACAACATGTAAAACATTCAACTCGTAAAATTTCAAATCTTTTTAGAAGTTCAGATCTCTTAAAAATTCAGATCGGTGTATAAAACTTATGAATTTTATGGTAATAAACCTTCAAGAAACAACATTTTATATTACAACATCATGCTTCATTTTTCTTTTTTCCTTTTAACTATTAAAGTTGGTTTTATTTCATATACCAAAGATGATCACATACACAAACAAACACAAACACAAACACATTAAAAAGAAGCTGAGAAGCAAAGATAAACGATAACCAATAGGTAAGGAAGGTCATATAAACAAGTGTAAAATAATTCGGTCAATCACTCACTTTAAACACTGTTTTACTATGTATCTGTTGCTTGGATCATCAACAGAGCCACATACATATACAAGAGCAAGAGCATTTTAACACGCAAAACCACAAATGTCTCCCTTCACTCATTCCTCCTCTTACTCCGAATGAGATGTCCAATAAACAAGCCCACTGCACACAATTAAAAAAAAAAAAAAAAAAAAAAAAAAAAAAAAAAGAACAAGTGGTTTGTTATTATTTCCCATAAAATGTTGTATGGAACTTTTTTGAGAAAATGGAAAATTATAAGTTTAGGATTAAAAGGTGAAAAAAAAAAGAAGAAGCAAGATGAAGATAACTGACCTAATTAAGACAAGCACACACTGCAAAACACCTGCAGTTCCTGTCCAAGCAGAAGGACCTTCAGGCACAAGTGCGTCTTGTATCAACAACCCTACTGACGCTGCCAAGGACACAAATGACACAACATATGCTAGGAAAAGCCAAAGCTTCAACCTGAAAATAAGATCCCCAAATTAAACAAAATACAAATAGCAAGCAAACAGGATTTACAGCCTACACCATTTCCAAAAGGACAGCCCAATAGATTATCAATATCCTAATTCCTAACTACTGACTGTAATTGCTCAGATATGCACTACAGGATCTAAAGACCATCTACCACATACAGAATCACTTAAAAAAACTTTTTACAGATTTAAATTTTATTTCCATTTCCTCCCTCAAGCATGATATAATTTGGTGTACTTCATATAAGGATCATATATGCATAGAGTGGTAAAGTCCACCGGTCAAAAAAGGCAATACAAGGGATAAGGGTTTTTATGTCATTTTACTTGTTATGTCTGTTTAGTAGAGACTTAGAGTATATGTAGGAGTCTTGTATTGGTTGTTGGGCATCATTGAACAGAATTCAATTGGGAGACACTATATTCTAGAAAGCTAGGGTTACATTTTCGAATTCAATAAAAACATATCAGAATATATCAGAGCAAGTTTGATCCATAATGTAGAGATCTACAACATCAAGAATTTAGGAAACTGTAGTGATATTCAGAACATCCAAGGATGTCTTGGCGAATCAATTCTTTGAAGAACGATTTGCAACTCTATTTGTATTGATGATTACATGACTTCACAAAGCCATTACCCTAATGCTGTTGCTACCAATAATTTGCCAAAATCATAAAAAAGAAAACCTCTAACCTAAATTTATATCATAATGGGCATTGGGCAGTGTGCCCCTAGTAAAACTACCATTCCCTCCCACTCACAATAAATGTGTTGCTTAAAAGATGTAAACATTTAGAAAATCTGGAATATTTTGATATCTAAATACCCCCAATATCACTACTAAACTATTGTTTCCAAGAGTTTAATTCATTTTGCAACAAAAATCTAAAAGATTGTCTTATGAAAATAAAAGAAGCCAGCTACTCATCTGAGAAAATAAACCAAACAAATATCCACGTGTCATATCGATTCTATTTTCTAACAGAACATTCATTTTCTTTTTTATTTTCTATTCTCTGCAAACTCTTGGTGCTTAATGATTTAACTCCAACCCACATCATGTCTTTGAGTTTATTTATCATCTGTGACTGTGACTGAATTTTTGCACAGCAAAGTATGCATGTGCATGGATTGGTGCTTAAAAACTTGAAAAGAACATAAAATTCAAAAGCCACAATTAATTTAAAATGCTAATTTGAATTTGGTGATGAGGGAGTAAGAAATTAGCAAACCATCAACATTCCTTTGCAATTGTTGATAATAAGTAAAGGGGGGAAGTTATCAACAAATTCTACAAGATTAAGATGTGAACGATACCCAAATTAAAGATTACTGTACTAAACTCAAAAGATTTCATACCTCCATTCACCTTCTTCATAGGGAGAGTAGTCGATGTCCTCTCTTCTAACACAATTAAACATCAACGCAGCCAAAGATGCAAATATTCCTACAAGTACAACATGAAAACCCCAAAACAAATCGAATTAAATTTATATATACGAAAAAAAAAACAATCAACAAAAACCTAACCCTAAAGAGAAAGAGGGAGAACCCGGTAGGTAGTGGAGAAACGAGACTTGCACAGAACTGCAAACGACGGCGTCAACCCAAAACCACCAGCCGGCTCCAAAAACGGCGCCGGCAACGCCTGGACCAAATATTGCCCACAATTCAGACAAATCCATTGATCGATTCGAACGCTATCTCCCCGTGGGTCGGGCAGTTGGGTACAGGAGATGCGTGCTACGTCAGCTTTCTGCGATGGAAAACAAGGGATGAAATTGTAGAAAAGGTTTATGATTAGCTGACGATTATAATCGATCAATGAGTTTCTTGCTGCGCTGTAATTTTACTAGCAGAAATGCAGTATGAACATCTACATAGAAAGTTACATAAGCGTATTTAGAATGACACTATTTGGCCCTCACCTCTCACATATTTGTTCGAAAGGCCCCTAAGTTTGCTTGTGCCTTTTGTTTGAAGCCTCTATTTAAATATCAAAGCACCTCTAACATTAAAACTCATGTAGTTATACTACTACTAGTTTATAACCTGTGGAAACCACGATTATAAAATTAATTAATTTTTTATAGTGCAATTTCAAAATTATTAATCAAATATTTTAAATAAATTATTAATTAAAAAATCTTTTTTTAGTTATATAAAATTATAATTGTTAATTTAAATAAATATATAAATTATATCATCTTATAATTTGTATTAATTTTATTGTAATATTATTAATTTAATATAATTAGAGTGGAAAATTTAAAATTGAGAATTAATATGTTAATAAATGACATGTATTAATTAGGAAAACTAATAGGGTGATACATATCAAAAGTAGAATAGAATATGTATTTATTAAAAGACCTAATAAGATGATACATGTCAAAAGAAGATTAAAACTATTCTTTTATTAGAATAGGAATATTAGCTTTTTTAACATTAAAATTTATGCGTTATTTTTAGTTTTTGGAGCTTTTAATATAAAGAAGTGTGTTCTATAAAACATATTTGTCAGGAATTATTTAATAACACTCCTCTTATGTTTTCTTATTGAAATGATGTACATTTATAAACTTGTGAACTCACCAGCTATTTTATAGTTTACCCTCGTTTTTTCATGCTTTTCAGGGAATGGACAGTAATCTTGTTAGTATCGAAAATATTGTAATATGTCGAAGTTTGTTGTGATAGTTTCGAAAGTTTTGTAATCTATTTGCTAAGGCAATATAGGTTCGAAGTCTGAATGTCTAGTCTTTAGTATTTTTTTGTATACTTTCAGTTTTCCTATAAATAGGAGATGTACTCTGAGATAGATAAAACTTTTTGCCTGTAACTCTGTCTAAACACTCTCATTATAAGTATAAATGAGCTAAACCAGATCTTATTTACATATCGTATTTTGATTACTTTGTGAATTCTGATTTCTTTCTTATACTCGATTAAACACTTCTACAATTGGTATCAGAGCAGGAATCATACTGCAATAATTTGATTTTCATTATAAATCATCAATTTTTGAGTTGTGATTTTGATTCAAAAGTTTTTCGCACTTTTTGGTTCAGAAAATCATTCTTGATCTTCCGTTGTGATTCGATTATGCAATTGAATTGTTTAGTCAAGTGATCGATTTGAAAATTATGCTTAATTCATTCATTTATTTGTCAAATTCATCAAGTTTTTTTTTTTTTTTTTTTCTGAAAATCACGTGTGACAACCCAAAATTTCTATCTTGTAAAATCAATCAAATCAATCAGAAGTCAGACTTGTTTCTGTTACCTTTTAGCCTTGTTAAGGGTCTGTTTGAGAGTTTTTTAGCCCCCACCATACAATGGGGACCGTAACTTTTACAACTTGAGCGAGGGAGGCTCATCAGACAGAGTCCTTCCCATCTTGGTTCGTTGAGTAGCTCGCAATGTTGAGCTAGGTATGGCAACCATTCAACAGATCGTGGAATTGATGCGGACAACAACGCCAATACGGATCGTATTCGCAATCTTGAATTTGCTCATAGGAGAGCTATGAGAGGAAATGAGGCTCTGCAACAAGAGCTACTTACCACTCGAGCAGAAGTTATAGAGCTCCGAGCATGCCAGACAGTGTATGAGAGACACCTACTTGATGTGGAGCGTCAGCTGGCTGAACTGAGGGTTCGTCCGAGCGGAGCCCGTCGCTAGTAGAAGATGCCCCACTCATCATTTATTTTGGTTTAAGGAACAACCTTCTTATCTATGCTCTAAGTAGCACTTTTTCCCTGTAAATATTCCTGTTTAGCAAGCACTATTTCATTAGGTCCTTATGCTTGCAAGTTTTCCCACTGTTGGTATGTTGTAGACCTACTCCTAGGTCAAATTTTTAGAACTCTGTGGAGTTTCTATACCAACTGTATTGACAAATATCTAGTTTTTTAAGATTGCTATCAGATCTATGTTAAGTTCAATATTATTCAGACCATATAACTCTATCAAAGTCTCATAAACCATTTTATCATAAAACTATAGCTGAAAGATGCTGCCTCGCAAACGTCCCGTCAGAAATCCCCCAATAACTCAAACCCCAACTCCACCGCCACCACATCCTCCACAGTTCGATGCGGTGATGTTTCAAGCTGTTGTAATTGTGGATGTAACCATAACCATGACAAAGATCAATTCTGGCGGTACGAGTGGCGCGTATAAGGGAGTGCACCTATAAAGATTTCATCAACTGCAAACCGTGATTCTTCAATCGCAATGGTTTGAAAAGACGGAGTCGATCTTCGAGATCAGCTCCTGCCCAGAAGGAAGCAAAGTAAAATTTGTTGCCTACACCTTCTCCGAAAGAGACTTAACATGGTGGAATGGCCATGTGAAGTCACTTACTCTGATAGTGGTTAACGCAATGGGCTGGGAGACACTTAAGGATCTAATGAAAAAGGAGTATTGCCCGAGGGGCGAAGTTCAGAAGCTCAAGGAAGAGCTGTCGAGCCTTAAGATGAAAGGTTTCGATATAGTGACCTATACGATCAGGTTCAGTGATCTAGTGACACTATCTCCAAATATGGTCCCAACTGAAAACAAGAAGATAGAGAGATATATCCGGGGACTATTACTTTGACAACCTGAAATTTCTGGCATGTATAAACGTTCAAATCTATCAAAGTTAGACTAGTGTTGTTATCTGTTAGCACTGTTTAGGGTCTATTTTGAGTATTCTGAGACTAGTACATCAAGGGAATCAGTGTTTGTACTTGTCAATTAAGGTTCCAAACATGTCATTATATGTTTATTAGGATCTTTGTGTGCTCAAGGTTTCACCTGACACTCTACATCCTTTCCAAGCATACTTTCGTATCACTCACCACAGGTGAGTTCATACCCCTTAACTTATCTTTTAAATGCTTTTAGGGGGGGGGGGGGATACAAGTAGAAAACATGCTGGTTATATAATCAATCACATGTGATTTATAAATGTGTTTCAAACAAAGGATTTCATTTACTTTAAACTGTGTTATCAAACAAGCTACTTTTAAATTGTTTTATAAACTGACATCAAGTCATTATTATTTATTGTTCAAAACCCTTTAAATGTATTACAAAACCTCTTTTAAACTTATACACTGTCATAAGCATGTCTATATATGTATAGTTATATAAATAATGTTTAAAGGACTTAGGACTGCTAACTCGATTTATTTCCTTTTCCTTGTTTGGATGTGGACTTAAGGTAACGGTTATTTGTCCAAAGGTCGTCTAAATATAAGATATATATTATGTATACATATGTAGATATAAATGTACTATCAATTAGTTCAGTACCTTTGGGTAACAAAGGTATACATTCAGTCATTTATTCAATTACAGAAATCACTAGTAAACTATAATAGGTATAGTGTAACACCCAAAATTTTCAAATAATTTTTCACATTTTAAAAACACACTTTCATTCATATTTGTTATAAAAATATCAATGTATCACATAATTAATTCATAACATCGCATCCCCAGATCAAATATGTAAAAGCTCCTCAAGTGTGTACTGATCAAGCCGGCACCTTCCCGCAATCCTCACTGGTACCTGAAACACATAACATAACACTGTAAGCATAAATGCTTAGTGACTTCCCCAAAATACCACATGCAAACACATATTAGCCACTCGAAACTATAAATCTGTTTGACCCTCTGGTCAATGTGTCTCAGTGGGACCTTCCGATCCCATAACTCTAATGGGCCCTCTGGCCCAAACTCTATGGACCTTACGGTCCAAACTCTGTAAAATCTATAACATACATAGCATAAAGCGCATAGAAATCTCATCATGCAAAAACATACAAATACTCTATCACATAACTCTAATTACCACTCTAGGTAAAGTATAGTGAGAAGACTCACCTCGGGTAACTTGGTAATCTCGAACTCTGTAAAAGCTAATCTAGCCTCCGCCTAATCATATGAAATAAACACACTAAATCAATACATCTCTCAAGGCTAGACTATTCCCTCTCTTAGTACTCTTAGAAGGGTAAAAGACCATTTTACCCCTCTCATGGCTCCAAGACCCTAAAGTTGACCAAACCCTAAAAGTTAACAAAAGTCAACTCTTCGGGTTACGCTGCGCGTACCAAACATGTACGCTGGGCGTACCAAGTGTCTTCACAGAAACAGGGTGCGCGACCCTTTACGCCGCGCGTACTGAGATTACGCCCCGCGTAACTCCCAGTTTCAGACTCTAAGCTTTTGGGGTCTTAAACAGTTAAGACCCACGTCCAACTTCTAGATCTGACCACTTCTAAGCCTCTTAATCCATAAAGTTGGTGACTTTAAGCCTTTGCATGGCTGGACAAGTCACTATCACCCATAATATTCCATTTCCCAACTCTAGAGAGCTCATAGCTCAAGCATGACCCCATATCAACGACCAAGATGGAAACTTTATGGATCTATTACACAAATACTACTGAAATGGGACAGATCTAGGTCCATGGAGTACATTACACTCATAAAGTCTCCACCTTTAGGACTTGTAACCCTAGAAATGGTCCATGCAACATCAAACCAAATAAAGAGGAATGTTTTGAACTTTATACCTCTAGATGAAGCTCTTTTCTCTGAAGATCTCAGATCCAACCTTGCACTTCAAGCCCTGGCCTCCACATGCTCTTATCCTTCTTCTTCACTAACACACCAAAACACTCTTAGCTCCAAAACACACACACTCTCAAGCTATGGATGATGGAAGGCTCTCTCTTAGGGTTTCACTCTCTGATATGGAGGCTGAGAAATGAGCCTTAGCATCCTTTAAATAGTGCACAAGCCAAACATTTAGGGTTTGCATCTAGACCCATTACGCCCAACGTACCCAGGCGAGTCCGCATCCAAATTAAGCGCATGGGTACGCACAACATACTCCCCAGTACGCCCATCGTACTCATTTGCTACAAGAACTCTCTCAAGGGACCACTTTTGATAACTTGACAAAATGGAAGGGTTTAATAG